AACTGCGGCATAAAGTTAACTGTACTAGGAAAACTTCGCCTTCAAAACAGTCACCTAGATTTATGACCTAAATGTTTGATTACTTACAACAAATATCAATAATTCCACTGGCATTGCTGGATGACTAGTAGTGATTTGCCTGATGACTTGGTCATTTGAGAATGAAAAAATGTGGAGAGAATTTAACTCTAGTACTTGGGTCTAAGGTTTGCAGTTGTTTTCTGCCTTTAGACACGGCCTTTCATAACTTCACTTGTCAAATTATGTCAGATTGGCCACAAGCCAGGGTTGTCCAAAACGAATCGAATATTCGAAATTATTCGAATATCAAGGTATTCGAATACCTTTTCGGCTCATTTCCGAATAATTACGAATAGTAGTCACTTTTCGCCGTAAACACGGTGTTTCGTTTCACCGGAATCTTCAAACGACTTTTTACGCTTTCTCACGTATTGTAATGACGTTGAAATAGAGTCGGCATTTTGATTGTTTATATTCAGCGCGAATGTACGTTGCATAGTGTTGCGACACATTTGCACGTTTGCGTTGGTGGACATTGCCGACATTCGTCTTTTAATTCACAAAATCATTTCCATTAGTCGAAAAATCGACAATCACCGTATTTCCTGGCTAATAAGTCGCTTTTCTTGACCCAATTTTGGCTTGATTTTTTGGGGGGAGGGGCGCCTTATTGAGAAAGCATGTTTATTTTATTTCTATGTGGCCTGCTTATTTTTCGCATTAGTCTTCTCAAGCATAATTTGTGTTAAACCTCATATTTGGTTCTTATGGGTCTGCCAATCATGATATTTAATCGTAGGCCGTTATCGTTACTTAAAAGAGAAAACACGGCCACCGCCACCGAGATAAAGTAAGTGATTTATGACCCTTTGGTTTTGCCGATTCAGCAGAAAGCGACAGGGACATGAAACACAGCTGTGAAATAACCCGTGGACGTACCGTGTGGTACTTATCACATTCCAAAATTATTTCAACATTTGGGTTGATAGGTTGTCCAAAATGATTGCCGCTTTATAATTTAAATTTACCGCTTCGTTGTTGAGAATAGTTAATTCCGTGAGTATGGTTCTACCAAACAAACATGATCTGGTTCTGTTCTGACCCAATAAAATTGTAGATTGTTCAAAATGATTGTGATTTTTAACTTAAAATTACCGCTTTATTGTTAAAAATAGTTAATTCTGTGAGTATGATTCTACTAAACAAACGTGTTCTGGTTCTAAACATTATTATTAGCGCATATTAGCATAACTGAACAACAGGGAATAATATTTCTACCCGTCTTCTTGGAGGCCTATATGGAAAACCCCCTTTTTTGAGTGCTAAAAATATACATCGTCCTATTTGCCATGTAGACTTATTAGCCGGGAAATACGGTATTTATAGCCGTAATTGTTACGATATCCAATAAATTGTCACAAGTTGGGAAACAAGTTGATTTATTAGAAAAATACTTTCACCCGCTTTCTGGAAAAGAATTTTGATAATGATGGTCAAAAGTATCGATAATGAAAGTATAAATACCAAATACCACGGGTATTTGTGGGCATGAAATGTGTGGTAAACTGCCCAATTATAATTAATTTCGGATTCGTATTTACAAAATATTAAAACTATTATAACTCAAAAATACAACGGCGATTTGTGGACTTGAATGTGTAATAAAGTACAAATTATTTTTCCGACTTGTGACAATTTTTTCGAGTACGAAAATAAGAATCAAAAATTAATTATATTCGGGCACAATATCATAGCATTCTGTGGACATAAATTGTGAGGCAAACTCGCGATTGATAATAATTTTTGATTCCTATTTTCGTACTCGAAAAAATTGTCACAAGTCGGAAAAATAATTTGTACTTTATTACACATTCAAGTCCACAAATCGCCGTTGTATTTTTGAGTTATAATAGTTTTAATATTTTGTAAATACGAATCCGAAATTAATTATAATTGGGCAGTTTACCACACATTTCATGCCCACATTTACAAAATACAACGGTGATCTGTGGTGGACATTGAATGTGTGGTAAACTACCTGATTATAAATAGTTTTTGAACCCTATTTTCGTATTTATAAAATAATAAAAGTATTATTACACAAACATACAACGGCGATCTGCGGACTTAAAATGTGTGGTAAGGTTCCCGAATATATTACTTTCTGATTCGTATTTTTGTACTCACGAAAAAATTGTCACAAGTCTGAAAAAGAACTCATACTTTATCCCGCTTTTTGACAAATAATTTGGATAATGGTTGGTATTTAAAAGTATGGGCGTTTTACTAGGATGATTTTGTGTTGCGCAAGCATTCAAATCCATCACCGATACCACTATTTAAAATGCCTTGTCGTATTATTTTAATTCTGATAATTAACACAACTCATGTTATATTAAATATATATCGCAATAATCTGCAAACATGAAATGGTAATATAGCCAGGTTGTAGATAGAAGTTATTCCATTGTTTATTGTATGAAAATTCCTTCATACACTTAGATTCTATTACTGGATTTTATTTTCGAAGTATTCGAAATTTCATATTCGAAAATAATAATTTCGAATGTATTCGAAATAGTGAACTATTCGGTATTGGCCATCCCTGGCCACAACTTAAATGTTTTAATACTTAGTACTGAGCAGATAATGTACAACATTTTGTTAGAATTTCTCCGAAATTGACTGCAGCGGTCATCATTCCCAACTTTTTTCTGAACATACTCCAACCTCTTAGTTGTTCGACCTCAATTCAGTAGCGAGCTTCATTGATAAAAGTGCAGATTCACATTAGTTTGATTACTTACATAAAGCCGAGCAAATATTAACGTTGTTTAACATAGTTCTGGAATTACCGATATATATTTCAGAACTGGGTCAGGCTTTTGGTTAGGTCATTCTAATGATTTATAAATATGCTCCGAATATTTGGAGAAATTTTGCTTGTCCTACACTAAGTATTTCGGTCCCTGCTCATAAAATTTTTCATACCTGTAGATTAGACGGCACAATCATAAGCGCAGCGGTTCCTAAATGGGGCGCCTCGGCAATCGTCTAAGTGTGCCTTGAAAATTGACAATTGTGTTAAACATAACTAATTATGAATAAATATTTTACATATTGTATTTATTATATTGTTTTCATGTTTCTTATTGCTGTGTATATTAGTTTTACCTTTCTTTGTTTTTGTGTGAGTAGTCTACGGTGTGAGTTTTTTCCCTGATACTTTGGCACTGCTTGAAGAAAAAGTTTGGGAACTGCTGATATAGTGGTTGAGACTAGGATATCATGTTCATTCCAGGGAGAGGGAAGGGGATGGCGTGCCTTTATCATATGAACCACGGACTCTTGTCAATGTCAGGAATAGATTGTCAGTTATTTGCTTCAAATTCTGGGACTTGATAGAGGGTGAAGCCGTGACCAACCAGTGGTTATTTGAATCTCTCTATGGCAGTGAGGGTTCCAGCAATCATCTCGCATAAATATCCCACACAGATTAATCATATGTGCGATGACCAGTGTATCCCCAACACTCCCAGACATTGCACCAATCCTTTCCGAAATTGTAAGCATGGTCCACTTGAAACACCGTTTCTGAAGTTGACGCTTCCGGCACTTGATACTTTCATTCTGAATTTTGTCTCATTCTCTGAATCTTTGAAGTTGCCGTCATCTGTTTCAACCAGATCCTGACCTTGGACCAACTGTCAAGCCAAATTCTTAACTTGTTTGCTCACCTTACATATCTCTCTATTTACAAAGCAAACTAGGCCTCACTGCTGCCCAGATGTTAATTGCTCCATAAAAGCATTGCTTACTTGTGATTGGTTGGGGTTTTAGGGGCGTGAGTGTTAAATATTGAGGTTATACTTGAGTTCATATCGGTCCGTGGGAATGGAAGGTCGATAGTATGATTCCACGCTTATAATTGTTCTTGTTCTTGTATAAAGCCAAATATAGCAACAGATAACCTCTTCAAATAGATATTGGCGTAAGTTGGCATGTGGTCTACCTTGGGTTGACGGGTTACGTTTACCACAATATAAAATGAAGTTTTTATAGTAGTATAAACATAGAAGCAGAGACTGTATATTCTGCGTTACTGAATCCAATTTTTTTGTATATACAATGATCTACACCAGTGGATTCCAACCTTTTCTCAAGCGACCCACATTTTTAAAAAAATAAATTTTGTAAAATCTTGTTACCCGCGAATATTCTTGAATAGTAAATTGCAGTTTTACTAGGTAATTCACTGAATAACTTTTTGTTCATAACAAAGTGACCCGGGAAGATTTTCAGGCGACCCAGTTTTGGGTCCAATTTTCCTTATTTTAGTTCTATTACAAGTTTGGGGACTAGCCAAGTGACTCCTGTAGTATTTGTACCTGAAAATATGGCATAACCTGATACACATACTACGTTCCGATGTCCGCCATCTTGGTTCACATTCTACGGAAGTACCCACCGCCAATTCCTTTGTTGGACTTATTGACTTAGATCAGAACATAAACAAGTGGATTGGCAGCTGTGAGATTATCGATCCATGATGTGTGGACCAAAATTAATCTGATTCTCTCAGATTTATCTCATTCAATCTGGCAATCAATATTTTGTTGGATTATCTATAAAAATAATCGATATAGCTCTAAATAGATCAACGATCATTTTGACTTAAACTGCCTTAGGCCCTTCAACAGTCGTCGTTTATTTGTGCATGATGACTGACCTTATTACTATTCAACGGTCTTATCAGATCGGCATTGTCTGGTTCTCAACATTTTTTAGTTTGGGAACCGGTTTGGTCTATCCAATTTATCACACACACAAGATCCGAACCCAGGATTTTGAACCGTGCTGTCAACATAGTTAATAAGTTCAATGCTCCACCAACAAGTATTCCACTTCAAATTTAATTCTTATAACCTATTTCTTTTGAGAAAATTTTAATAAAACTAATTTTATTCTGTTGCAGATAATATAATTTAATATATAAAAATATAATATATAAATTTTGACAAAAATAATGGCAGAAGAATATAGTCACGAAAAAGTTATTGAATCGTACGATTATTTAAAGAAAATAATCAAGGAGAATCCTGAGGTCGGGATTATCTGCGGCTCCGGTCTGAGTGGCCTCGGGGAGGACGTTGAAAATAAAATTATTGTGAAATATGGGGACATCCCCAACTTCATGACTTCAACAGGTGAGATTTGTACTCTGTCTTGAGGGTTGAGGCATTCAACTACAATTCCATGTGCGTAGCTTGGAATTTTCAAGGGTGGGGGGGGGGAGAGGGATGTTCTGAAATTTCTAAGTAAGAACGTATGCGCTAGCAGGTACATACGGAGGACGAAACGTTGGTTTTAGAAAGTCTCCAAGGTCTAATATGAAGATTTTCTATGTTTGATACAGGAAACATTACATTTCAAAAGAGAGAATTTTTTTTTAGAGAAAGCCCTCGCCACTATTTCAAAAATGTGAATTTTCAGAATAACACACCCGCCATGTTTTAAGTAATTACGCGCTCGGCACAATTCACCGGTGACTAAGGTGTTTTTGGGTGGGGGTTTCTACAAAAAATCATGAAATTATCTGCTATCAATTGCCATTGATTCTTCCAGCTTTTATATTATTCCTTTCCCCAGATGTAAGATGGGTAAACTTCTATAAGTAAGAAATAGTTCTTAGACTACCAGTGGTGAGTGGAAGCTCACAACTTGTATGACTTTGCACCTTTTTTATAGTTCAAGGTCACAAAGGTCAACTAGTGTTTGGTCGTCTCGGTGGTAAGAAGGTCATGTGCATGCAAGGGAGGTTCCATCCTTATGAAGGACACGAAGCTTGGAAGGTTTGTTGTTCGATATTCTTGTTTGTGAACATCCAGAACAACTACTATTCGTTTTGTATTTTCTGGATGTTTTCCAGCTAATAAGACGAATTCCTGGCTCCAATTTTTTCAGCAGGATACATGATTCTATCGAAACAAACAACCGCTTTCTTCCAGAAGGCTCTCTTTAAGTTAAATTATCGTTTAAGGTTAGACTGTACTATGATGGCATTGCAGGTCGCATATCTCAGGCTCATATCCCATGCCCAGGGCATTATGGATTGGTTAGGTAATGCCTGTGACGTAATGTGATTGCTCAAATGATGAGCAGCGCGACAACTCCTAATTGTTGCGGCGCATCTCATCTATTTGTCTAGTTCGTTAACTTGTAGACATTTATTCATGGTTCACTGTCTGAGTTGTATTGTTAAGCCGCTGTTCTCAACAAACAGAGTTCCGTTCAGTGAGCAGATAGCAATTAAGCAATGCAACAATGCTGAACCAAGGAGATTCAGTCTGAAATATCAAGCTATGGGTGCTTTTACAGAGCCTTGTTGAGGGCAAAAGATGTATAAAGGCCGGAGGTCCAACGCCTCAATTACTAGCCTAGATTGTAATCTTTATTGTTTTGTTCAGATCGCAGTTCCTCTCCGAGTGATGAAACTTCTTGGCGTGGAGTTTGTTATCATCACCAACGCAGCTGGCGGGCTTAATCGATCGTTCGGCGTCGGAGATTTTATGCTGATTAAAGACCACATCAGTTTCCCAGGACTTGGAGGGTACAACCCCTTATGGGGCAAGAATGATGATAAGTAAGTATTGTATTCCTTATTCATGTAGGAATTTTCTCGCAGAAATTTTTGTTGTTGTTATTGTGAGGAATTTCATTTTCTCACCCAGTCTCTTACAAAATCATGAGCTCTAATGCAGCGTTTTTCAACCGGGGGCCCATGGCCCACCAAGGGGGCCACAGATTAGTTGGATAGGGCCACAATGTCAGGCGCAAAACTTATTCTACATTTCCCCTTCACCAGGAAACTTCCAGTTCCTTCTAGTTTCATTGCTTGATAAGAATAATTAAAAGAATGTTTTCACTTTGTTGAGGACAGATTGTTTGAACATAATGGGAAAATAACACTATGAATACCACTGGAATGATAAACAGGGGTCATGAGTGCTTAAAGCCTACGGAATGGGGGCCACAAGGCATAAATGTTTGGGTATCACTGCTCTAATGCATCAGTGGGCACTTCTGAGATCATCATTCATGACAAGAAATTCGTCCTCGCTATGGATAAAATTGAAGAAATAGTGTGTCACTATTGTAATTTCCATTTTATTTTATTTCTAGATTTGGGCCGAGGTTCCCAGCAGTCACCCAAGCATACGACAAAAATCTTCGTAAGTTGATGTACGATACAGCAGTTGACCTTGGGATCAAGGACACAATGAGGGAGGGAATTTACTTCAATGTTGCCGGACCTTCATACGAGACCATCGCCGAGTTAAATCTCGCGTTAAAGCTGGGTGGGGATGCTATCGGTAGGTTATGTTTAATAAATAGTTTCTGGGGGGAGTTGATAAGATGGTTTTATAAGCAAATTTGCTTTTTTGTTTAATGGGATAATAGGACGACTGACGAGATAAAAATGGTCTGGGGTGCAATTAGTAAGTTAAAATTTCATGAATTAGAGTCTTTGCATCTGAAACATAACTAGCTAGCTAATTCCATATCCGACAGGGACTGGGCGAGAGGTCGAGGTTTGGGATATGGAATTAGCTAGTCTTATTGGCTTTTCTTCACCGGGATGAATATGTAAATCATGTCCTTAATTTGGGGAGGTGGGGAAAATTCATAACACAAATTTATATCTCAAAGTTAACTTTTTGTTTGATGGGATGATAATAAAAGGTTTCTGCTATAAAAAGCCGTATTTTCAGAATAATCAAGTAGATTCGATAAGGTATCTAGTCCTGATCATCCGAATCTTAAGTCAGGTCAATCACTGATTACAGGGTTCCACAAGTATGTGTACCAATATGGAGGTAACTAATTTTGTTTGTCTACTTTGCATCAAGTTGTGTAAAGAAACTGAAAACTGTGGGCAGGGGGTATATTATATTCACTTGGCTAACACAGACAATCCCCGGACTCGTAATAGAACTAAAACATAGAAAATAAGAATAAAAGTATGACTTAACCCTGACCTGATACACATACCACGGGAGTACAGATTCAAATCTCTTCGTCGATTAGTTGATGATGAGCAGAAGTCTTTGGATGATTTGAGTTAATTCGAGTTACGTCAATGACTCCTCAACACTGCTGCCTACTCATGTAATAAACACTCACCTCTTTTTACACTCGGGAAAGTTGGGTCATCAGAACCTGAAGTCCAGCCAATCTTTGAGTTTAGTCTCAACCTGAACATTACAATTTCTTAAAATTTAACCTCCTCTGACCTTTGACCTCTGGTATGAGTACAGCACACTTAATACACGTGCCTTTTAATCTTTGACTTCTTCCAGGTATGAGTACAGCACACATGTCCTTTGACCTCGCTTGACCTTTGACCTCTTTCAGGTATGAGTACAACACACTTGTCTTTTGATCCCTTTTAACCTTTGACCTCTACTTTTCCAGGCATGAGTACAGCGCAAGAAGTTGTGGCAGCAGCTCATTGTGGATTGAAAGTCTGCGCTTGCTCGCTCATCACAAATTATTGCATCATCGATTATGAATCCACAGAGGCAGCCAATCATGAAGAGGTTTTAGAAACGGGGAGGGCCCGAGCTGCGGCTATGCAAAAACTTGTCACAGAGTTTTTAAAGCGCTGTCCTTAGGAGGGGGGTTAGGTTTTAGAAAAAGTGTAGATTTCAGGGTCAGTTTTAAAATTTTTTAATGAAATTTGAAATGTAAAATGTGATTTTTCAATTTATATTGCTAACTTGATGTTATACCACAGTGGTTCCCAACCAGGGGTTCATAGCCACCATGACGGATGCATAACTTATTTTACTTTTCCCTTGACAAGAAAACTCCTCATTCTCCTAGTTTCTTTGCTTGATAATGTTTTTTCGCAGGGTGTTTTCACTTTGTTGTGCATGATCTGTTTGAATATAATGGGATCTACCTATCAAAGTAACACTATGATTACTACTGGAATGATGAAAGGGGGCCACGAGATACACAAGGTTGGGAACCACTGTATGGTATAATATACAATTTCTAACACTATTGCTAGACAATTTTTTGGGACCAAGTGGGGTGGGTGTACGAGCGGCCACTATTACCCGCTGTGCTTATATATTATCATAACATTGTAAACGAATCTGTATTTTATCGCCCCCTCACGGGGAATTCCCCTTATTCACTTAAAACTCAATTATACCTACTCAAGTCGAGTCCTAAAATGGTCGAGTCAACTTGACACAATCAGATTCTATTAGTCACTCGTAACTTCGAGGAGTTTTAATTTACTCAAGTAGAGTCATTAAATGTGACTGGAGTCGACACACCTCCTCAATTTTCATTTTTGCATCCTCCTTGCTGGGAGTTCCCCTTTTCAAGATGCCTCCCATGACAAACTTTTTTGGTGATTTGGCTCAGTTTTATGCAGAGGGATTTGGAATCCGTCCTTTTTTTGTTTTTCTTCTGAATCACTCCTAGCAAGGTTATGAAACTATTTTGAGGAGGAAAGATAGTATTGATAGGAAAGCTACAAGCGACCACTAGATGTCATAATATAATATGTTATTATGAAATTACAGAATACTTCCTCCTTATAGGGGATTCCCCTTTATCAAATGAAAAATGTGCAAGAAGATTAATGAAAATGAAGTTGTATTACCCACTGGTATGATAATAGTTATATCTAATTAGTAAATTTAAATTCTGTATCCTCCCAATGGGAGTTCCCCTTAATCACAATGAATGTTGCATCTTAATGGGACTTCGTCTGTATCACATTAATGGTTTACTCTTATATTCTTTATTCTATTATTCATTTCACTCATACACACCAGGAGACATAGCCTTTTCCGTAGAGGTCAGAAGCATTGCAGGCGGTCACTGTCATTCTGATATTTATACTTGTAGCAGTAATTGATCTATATGTTGTCCATGAAGTCTTGAAATTGCGAAGGGAATTTATCGATACCATAAATTGTTTGGCTCTCACAATTGTATTAAATGAAGTAAAAAACAACCAACCTGGTTAAGAAGAGTCGTCGAGTCTTTCATTAGCTGCGGCTAATGAAATGCTCAAATAGACTTACTCAAATCGAGTAAAATTTGATTAATGTTACTCCAAAACTTACTCAAAATTGGGTCAATGGTTTATTCTAGTTTTGACTTTAATCAAAAGCCTCCTAAACTTTGAGATTTTTATACTCAAGTCGAGTCCTAAAACATGACTTGAATGGACATATCTTATATTATCTGCTGCGTCTTATATCAGCTGTGACTCTCGTTATAAATTTTAAATGCTCAAATAGACTTGCTCAAATTGATTAGGGTTTCTTATAAACTTGTTCAAGTCCATGATAAAGTGTGAGTGGGTCCAACCCTTTTTTATTTATGATGAAAACACCTCAAAATTTGCACTTCACACTGTCTTCTACCAGTATCAAGTTAGTTTTAAATAATTTTTGAATTTTGTGCAACCTCAATGCCAGGATTTTATTATCTATGGAACGAACAATAATTTCTCTTCTATTTTTACATGCTAAAGAAATTTTATTGAATACTTAAAACTTTGGATATGTTACTAACTTTTATCCGATTTCTTACCAGTCCAAGGTTTGCCTGTGTAATTGAAAAGCCTCCATATTGGAATTCAAGTCATTTTATCTGAAACAAATAACTGGCTAACAGGTCCCGCATCAGACACAGACTTGTAATTGGCCATGGTACATTATTTTCTTCTTTTGCAAACATTTTCAGTGTTTGGCTTAGATATTCGAAATTTTGTTCATGTTCGCTATCAAGTTTTTATTTTTGTATTTGGGAGATGGGTGGGTAAGGTATTTGGACGTGGTGCCAAAATATTTGCTTTTTAGACTGGCAGGCCAGGTAAGCGTGACGTAAAAGTTACATTTTATGAACAATATTTACAGTGTTAGCAAAAGTGAAAAACAATAAGCCTCGTGCCCAAACTAAATTTAATCGTAATCTCAACAAATTCCTTGAGCTATTTTTTAGCTAAAACAACAAGATTTGGTTGTGGCAACATCAGGCAGGCCATATTGAATTACCCAACGGTCTTGATTTAGCCCGCGGGCCGTAGTTTGCTCATGTCAGGTCTAAAAACTTTTAAATTATATGGTTATGCGTGACGTCAAAATAATTTTAGATTTTACGAGAATTTTCAATGCTTTGCTTAAAACCTATATTCCAGACCTTTCATTTACTTCATTCAGTTTCTTTTATTTTTTTATTCAATGCTACACAATATTTTCCAAAACTTTGAAAATCTACGGTTGTCAGGGGCAACAAAATTACCTTCGTTTTTATGAAAATTATTTCAATATTTCCCCGAAACCTGTTTTGATCCTTATTGAAATTTCAAAAAATAATTCTAATTTTTCATTTTATGCTATTTATTGGTTTTCCATTGTTAGATTCAATGAAATTCATTTTATTCAGATAATCTATGACAATTTTACAACACCAGTTGTTCTCCAGTTCCAGAAAAAACTTTGACTTTACCAAATGATTTTAAATCATTTTAATTGTATTATATTTATTGGAATTATTTGAACGTGAATCATTTAAATTTGCTCTAAAATTATTATTTTTTTCAGATGGAGTGATACTTTCTTTGATAGTTGTTCTCACTGTTTCTTCTTACGTTTATCGCTACTTTTCTTTTGGGCCCTGACAATAAATATTTCTCAACATGTGTTATCACGCTAACAAAACTTTTTGAAATAAGAAACGATGACAATTATTTTAATATGTTCCTCTGCATTTAAAAATACCCGGAATATTAACAAAACGTGTATGTGACAACAATAATTAAATGTGTACATGATAAAGATTTAAGATAAAACTTGGGGTATCCTGCTAATTTTTTGGTTGAGAACCGAATGATCACTATAGATTAGTAGCGACACTCTTGAATTGAGCTGTATTTATGTAATATTTTCACTCAAGCATCACCCATGTCAATGTCATTATTTTAAGGTGTCTTTTTTGATCACTTTTAAGGTGTCTATGGTTTCACTATGATTTCGTAACACAATATTTCTTGTGCTCTGAGCTGTGAACTGTTATTTTCGGAGCTCTGAACTTTTACGCTTCTGGTACCCAAAAAGCAATATATATAGTAAAAATCGCTAAAGTAAGGTCACTTGTACATAATCAAAGTGAAGAAAATTCATCTCGGAGCAAAGTCACGCTCGCTCAATGACAAGTAAAGGAGGCTCATCTTTGCACAAAGTTACCGGAACTCTGTTAGAAGCCTCACCCCTGACCACACTTGCTCAGAAGTAAATAAGACTTGTTTTTGCGAGCAAAGTTACAAACACCACTGAATGCCAAAGGTACTGAAAATTAAGGGTTATGGTGGCGCATTTACTCCTTACATTTTCCATCTGCAGGTGCCTCGTCGGTGCTCCAGAAGTATGCGCACCAAGATGTCGTACAACCTGAATCCCAACTGATACACACATACTATGTTCAAGTTGTGCACCATGTTGGTGCACATACTTTAGGAGGTCCACCTGGTCTTACTCATGCCATCATGTTGTTAGTTTTACTTATAAAAGGGGTTTATATACTTATTCATTAATAACACAACACTTTTTACATTAAGCTTTGAATTATAATTCGCAATGTATTATGTCATTATTCAACCGGTACATGTATTTACACCAGCACGATCCGGTGACAGCACATTTGAACCTACGTACATTTGAACCCGTACATCTGAACCCGTAATTTGAACCCAGGACAATTGCACCTGTATACTATTGCACCTATGGACATTTGCACCTACGGACATTTGAACCCATACATTTCCACCCATGGATTTTAGCACCCGCATATAGATTGAACCCGCGGACATTTGAACCCGTGTACGTTTGCACCCGCGTACATTTGAACCCATGTACATTTGCACCCGCGGACATTTGAACCCGTGTACGTTTGCACCCGCGTACATTTGAACCCATGTACATTTGCACCCGCGGACATTTGAACCCATGTACATTTGAACCCACGAACATTTGCACCCGCGGAAATTTGAACCCATGTACATTTGCACCCGCGGACATTTAAACCCATGTACATTTGAACCCACGAACTTTTGCACCCGCGGACATTTGAACCCACGTACATTTGAACCCGCGTACATTTGAACCTACATACATTTACACCCGCGTACTTTTACACCCGCGTACAATTGTACCCACAGACATTTGCACCCATGAACATCTACACCCATGGGCATTTACATTTACGGATATTAGCGTCTTTACATATACACCCTACTGTCACCCTTATCCTTCCATGCTATATACTATAGTATATAGGATTGAAAGGTACACTTAGGATTCTTTCTCCAAATGCATACGTAGCGAAAACAATCAATATTACCATGGAATTGTCGATTATATACTCGAAGGCTTTATTACTATTTTCTATATATTTAAATTATATTATATATTTATATTATACTCCGTCTGTCATTGTCATCGCAATTGTCGATATCATAAGACTCAATGGACAAAATGTTCCGCTGTAGAATGCGAGCCAAAATTGGGGAGTATGATTTGTGCTTTGAACGGTCGACGACTCTTGAAGAGCGCGAGCAAGGATTTTAATTGATGTGTTAGTTCGATCCCGCGCAAAGTTTTTCCTCGCATCAATGCTCTTTTTCCCTCGCAGACAATTCCAAACTGTTTCTTCAAGACGTTGCAGCTGCGAAGATGACAAGTCCCTTTGCGAAAATAAGTTGGAAACATGGCGCCTACATTTTCCAAGACCACAAGAGGAAACGACTTACTGATTTACAAAGGCCACGAATATTGTAAGCGAAATGATCGGGTTTCAGATGCTACTCATTGGCGCTGCCGTCAGTTTAGGAACATTCGATGTAAATCGACTGTTGTTACGATCGGTGAAAATGTAATAAAAGAACTAGGATATCACAGTCATTCTGGCGACAGCATTAAGACTGAAGTTGGGATCATCCGTGCAACATTAAAAGAAGCAGCATCAACACCATCAAATACATCGACAAGATATATTTTAGGTGAAGTATTGAATAATAGATCAACAGATGTACTAATGCGCTTGCCAGGCAAGTCGACTCTGGAGGCCAATATACGCAGAGTAAGGCGACAGAAAAATTGTTCACATACGAATCCTACAAGTGCAAGCTTTGATATTCCGAACGAATATTTAGATATCATTTTGCATGACACTGGCCCGGAGGATCGTCATCGGATAATGGCTATTGGAGATCGATCACTACTTGCACATCTAGATAGTGACACATATCTTGGCGACGGTACATTTGATGTGGTGCCCGATATTTTCTTCCAGTTGTATACAATTCACTGTAAAGTGAGCGCATCCTATCCACCATGCGTATATTTCCTATTACGAGACAAGCGACAAGAAACATACGTTCAGATGTTGGAAGTGTTGAAAATCATTTTCCCAAATGCTAACCCCACCAAAATCATTGTTGATTTTGAAATAGCAGCTATCAATGCATTTCATGCACAATTTCCTCTGGCCGATATTAAAGGATGTTATTTTCACCTGTCACAAGCTATAATTCGAAAAGTTGGTTCTATCGGATTAAAAGAGAAGTTTGAAT